AACCCCGTATCTTAGTTCTTGCCTGTCTGATCTTCCTCAGCTGTGGGCAGCTACCCATCTCCTTGTCCATGCAGCTTTGTCTATTCTGGGGCAAGACCCTCGCAGCCATGCAAGTGGTCTTTTGTGACGGGTTCCTTTCACATAGCATGATCCATCAGTGTTATGTCAGCAATACCCACCTCATTTTGAATGGGCAAATAACATTTTATCTAATCCTTAGCTATTTGGTCTTCCTTGAATGCTATAAACTGTCTTGTACAGGTTTGTGTGTAAGCACATTTTCCTTTGTCTTGCACTGCTGCTCTGTTGTAACTAGGTTTAACTAGTTGAGAAACTGCCACATTGTTTTTCAAAGTAACTCTAACATTTTACTTTCTCAGCAACAGTACACAAGGATTCTGATGTCTTCACATCCTCACCAACTTTTGTTCACCTATTATTTTCTATTATTATTATTATAGCCATTGCAATGTATGTAAAGTGGTTTCTTTGGTTTTGAGTGGCATTCCCACGTAACGTCATCAAACACTTTCTATGTACTTACTGCCCATGTGTATAACTTATTGGAGAAATGTTTCTTTAAATCCTTTGAGAACTTTTACTTCAGTTGTTTTTAATTACTGAGTTACAAGAGTTCTTTACATATTCCAGGCACAAGTCCTTTATCAGATATTTGCAAATAATTTCACTTGACAGGCTTCATTTCATTTTCCTTAGAGCATCCTTTGAAGCAGTTTTAAATTTTAAAGCCATCTCATTTAGCATTTTGTTTTGTCTTGCTGTGCATACTTTTGGTGTTATATTAAAAATCCATTGCCAAATGTAAAGTCTCATTTGCCTCAATATTTTCTTCTAAGAGTTTTATAGTTTTAGCTCCTACATTTAGATTTTTGAACCATCTTGAATTGTTTTCCATTTTTAAATTTTTTCTTCTAAACTTACTTTCATTAATTTTAAAGACAGAGAAACAGAGATATACAAAGATCTTGCATCCACTAATTCGTTCCCGAAATGACCAGCCAGGACTGGGTCTAGCTAAAGCTGGGGGCCTCGAACACAATCGTCACCTCCACTATGGGTGACATGGATCAGGCACTTGCTCTCCAACCTGCTCTCTTCCCGGTGTCCATCAGTAGAGAGCTGGAATTGGAACTTGAGCTGACATTCAAACCAAGGCAATAAAAAATGAGACATGAGCATCCCAAGCCGTCTTAGCTACTCTGCCAGCTTCCTCCCTTTGAGTTAACGTTTGCACATGGTGAGAGGTAACAGCCTGAGTTTACGCTTGCTTCCTCAGAGACCTCCCATCCTCTGGTTCACCCCACAAATGGGTCTCTGGAGGGCACAAAATTAGGAGATGAAAGTCAGTTCAGATCCACAATGTGGATGGCAATGACTCAACCACTTCAGCCATCACCTGCCACCTTCTAGGATACACATTAGCAGGAAGCCAGGATCAGGAGCAGAGCCAGAACTTGAACTTCCCCTCTCCCAGGCAGTATCTTCATTGCTAATGCCTTTGAATTCATTCTCTTATCTCAGCAATGGCCTTGACACTCCTATGAAATCAACTGACCACAGATGCTTGGGCTTAGTGCTGGAATCTTTATCCCATTATTTATATGTCTATGTTAGTGCTACACTGCTTTGATCACTTTTGCTTCATAGCTAAACTGAAAACCTGGAAGTCCTCCAACTCTGTGCTAATCTGGATTGCAGAGTTTTCATATGAATTCCGGAAGCAGATCAGCAATTCCCTCCAAGCCTGTTGGGATTCTGCTGAGTATCTACATCAGTTTGAAGGCTGCTGGCATCTTAATGATATTTTTTCCAATTTATGAACATGATACTTGTCACTTATTTGGATTTTTAAAAACTCCCTCCAGCACTGTATTTAAGATTTTGTTGGGCCTGGTGCAGTGGCCTACCAGCTAAAGTCCTTGCCTTGAATGCGCTGGGATTCTATATGGGCGCTGGTTCTAATCCTGGCAGCTCCACTTCCTATCCAGCTACCTACTTGTGGCCTGGGAAAGATGTAGAGGACGGCCCAAAACCTTGGTACCCTGCACCCGCATGGGAGACCTGGAGGAAGTTCTTAGCTCCTGGCTTTGGATCAGCATAGCACCGGCCATTGTGGTCACTTGGGGAGTGAATCATAAGATGGAAGATCTTCCTCTCTGTCTTGCACCCTCTTTGTATATCTGCCTTTTCAATAAAAATAAATCTTCAAAAAATTTTTTCTTGTACTATTTTTGTTAATTTTACCAAGTATTTTCTTTCTGATCTTATTAAAAGATGAATAGTAGTATCATTATATTTAAAAAATTGTATTTATGAACCACATAATCTCTGTACTCTTTATATTCACAACAAAAATGCAAGTTGGGGCCAACGCTGAGGCACAGCAGGTTAAGTTCCTGGCTCTGGCTTAGCCAAGCACTGGCTGTTACAGCTATTTGGAGAGTAAACCAGTGGGTGGGAGTATCTCTCCCTCATTCTCTGTAACTGTCTTCCAAATGAATGAATGAATCTGGTAAAAAAAAAAGTTACAGTAGCATTGTGGAACAGGTTAAGCTCTAGTCTGCAATGATGGCATTCCATATGGGCATCAGTTCAAGTACCAGCTGCTAATAGGCCTGGAAAAGCAGCAGAGGATGGCTTAAGCATTTAGGTACCTGTACCGAGATGAAGTACCTGGCTTTGCTCTGGTCTATTCCTGCCCATGGTGGCCATGTGGGGAGTAAAACAGCAGAATGAAAATTTCTCTCTTCTGTTTTTAAAATAAATCTTTTTTAAAAATATGAAATTGCTCTTAATCTTTTTTGGATCACTGCAAATATGTACCAATATATTGTTTTTATTTTTAATTACTATTTTTCTTTACTTAAAAAGGGAGATATAGAGAGGAGATACAGATCTTTTGTCTGCTGGCTCAAGTAGCTGTAATGGCAGGAGCCAAGCTGATTTGAAGCCAGCAGTCTGGAGTTTCCTCCGGGTCTCCCATGTAGATGCAGGGTCCCGAGGCTTTGGGCGGTCCTTGATTGCTTTTCCAGGCCATAAGCAGAGAGCTGGATGCGAAGCAAGGCTGCTGGGATGCGAACAGGAGGCTATATGGAATCTTGGTGGATGCAAGGTAAGGATTTAGCCACTAGGCTATTGCACAGACTCACTACATTGTTTTTAGATTTATTTATTTGAAAGACACAGTTACAGAAAGAGGGGTTGGGGAGAGACAGAAATCTTTTATCCACTGATTTACATCCCCAAAATTAGGGCTGGGGCAGAAGGAAACCAGGAGCTTTTTCCATCTTCCATGGTTTCCCAAAGCACATTAGTTGGGAGATGGAGTGGAAGTCTGGAGTTCAGTTGGGCCCCTATGGGATGCAGGGAGCAGCTTGACCTGCTGTGCCACAACACCAGCCCAACTGATTCTTTCATTGATCTTTCCTATAACTTTGCTGGGCTTATTTATCAGTTCTAATGGCTTTATTTTAGATTCATTAGAAATTTTCTTGTAAGTTTCATATCAACTGCAAATAGATAGTTTAACTTTTCCCTCTTCAGGTTGGCTGGGTTTCAAAATATTTTATGGAACATCTTTACGTGTTCTGGTTGTTCTCCATTGTCTGATCAAGTGGAGGCTCTAGGAACATCACCCCTTGCGCATCAGGCTTTTGGGGGCAGCAGGATGCAGTGGCTCTGAGTCATCTCTTCTCCACCAGGAGTCACAGTGGCTTCCCTGTTTCACAAGGAGAAAACCAGCAGGGACCTTCCTACAGCAGCCTCCTCCTTGGACCCCCGGCCAGGAACACCCTCTGTTCTCTCCTGCTCCCCCTTCTTAGGGAAGACTTTCCTGTTCTGCCTAGTGCAGTTGATAGCCTCCTTTCTTCTGCTTTCAAATGCCTTTATTCACATATGAATCTGCACGGGGTTTGTCTCTTGGAAAATGGAACTGTTCAACAGTCAAGACAGGTGCCTCCGACTTCATGTTCTCAGTCCTCAGCACAACAGCTGTGTATACAGATAAGGTCATCCATCCTTTTCCAAGGATAAAACTCATTCTTTGTGTACTCAGGGCTGGTGCATGCCAAAGTTACGAAACTATCCAGGTATCCCACGTGGGTGGCAGAGCTCCAAGCACTTGGGCCATCTTCCACTGCCTTCCCTGGCACATTAGCAGGGAGCTGGTTCCAAAGTAGAGCAGCTGAGACTCCAGCAGGTGCTCCAATACAGAGGCTAGCACAGGCTGCAGTTTAACCCTGTGCACCACAACAAAGCAATTTTAAAAAACAGATTTTAAATGGGCTGGCATGCATGGCTCAACAGGCTAATCCCTGGGGTTCAAGCACCAGCATCCCATATGGGTGTGGTTCGTGTACCAGATGTTCCACTTCAGATCCATCTCTGCTTGTGGCCTGGGAAGGCAGCAGGGGATGACTCAAGTGCTTGGGACTCTGCACCCTGTGGGAGACCCAGAAGCAGCTCCCAATCAGCTCAGCTCTAGCTGTTGTGGTCATTTGGAAGTAAACCAGATAAATTAGATCCTAGTCTCTCCTCTCTATAATCTTTCAAAAATCTCACCCACCTTGCATGAATGGTCAGATATTCAACACAATGTTAAAACTTCTTGTAATACATTTTAGAAACCCTGTGATCACATTTCCAGGGCACTTTCAAATTGTTACATTTTGTTACTGTTTGAACCTCCCTCCTTCCCCCAAAGTGGGATAGGGTAGGGTTTCAGGCTTGGCGCCCGCTCTGCGAAGAGATGGAACAGAGGCCACAAAAACCTTCAGCGACTTTGTTGTAACAGGATTCCCTTCCACAAACAACATGTTGGAGTTAACTCTGTGCTTAGAACATTCGTTCTAATTCACCAGGCCACCAGAGTAGGGAGTTCACAGCTGAGTCCAGCATCAGCACACACAAAGCAGTCACCAACTAGCAAGTTCGGCAGTCGGCCATTTCCAAGGCCTACAGCGCCCTCTGCTAGGGCTTACCTGGTCCTGCCAGCGGCCAGACCCGGGCAGCGCTGACGAGGGAGAAAAAACTCACATACATCAGGGCTTGCATATGAGCGATTTCTTTACCGTCCTGGCAGTGCATAGCCCCATCCATGTGTAATCTGAACTCTGCACTTGTGAAGTGTCTACTCTACATCTGGCACAACATGGTAATGCCTATCTTCTAGATCTGAAACCGATAAAAACGGAGGCGCAAGTTTGGGTGCCCAGGTCACTGTCCCTGGTCCATTCCCACTCTGCGCAGCAAAGCAGCTGTGTGGCCTAAAGCTGAAGACAGAGCCCAGGCCCTGGAAACCCGAGGGTCCTAAGCCCTCAGGTCAGACTCCGAGGCGCCAGAGCGCCAGACAGACTGTTTTTCTTTCCCCTGCATTCTACCTCCCCATCTTCCCCCAGGGCGCAGCCCGCACCGGCTGCACACAGCCCTTCCGTGCCTTTCCCCGGGTTGCCAATCCCCCGTGGCCACGCGCCAAGTCGGGTCGCCGTCCTCAGTCGCCTGGTCCAGGCAGGCCCCCCTCTACATGGGAATCCTCACCACATTCAGGAACGCAATGGTCTGGGCTCCCCGGGGCATGCCATGCCAGTCCACGCGCACCAGGACCCCGCTATTCCTCTTACCAAAAAGGGCCTCAATATCTGCCTTGAAAAACCCTTCTCCATGGCGCAGTCCCCAGGCCCACAAGTTCCGGGTCGCACCCTCTCCAGTCATGCACCAGATGCGCGCGCCTCAGGGTCACCCGGTCCGTCTCCGGCGACCGAATCTAGTTGGCTGAAGCCCCACGTGTGGCGCTGGGGACCGCGGTCCCTCTGCAGTGCAGCAGCACCTCCTCTCCAGCACCAGGTGGCTGAGGTGTGCACCTCAGCTACTGCAGCCTCTTCCTCTCCGTGGTCCCCAGCTGGGTCTCACGTTTCAGCGGCTGCCGCCACCCCTGGGTCTCTCCTTGAGGAGGGAAATACCGGCGGAGGCACAACTCCCTTCCCCAGGCGGCCTGCTCAGGCCCATCACGGACATCCACCGCCCTCCCAGGTGGCGCGCAGCCCCTTTCCAAGCGGGTGCCAAGGGTGTGGCATGCTGACACACGGCTAACTTTCCGCGGGCTGTGCTCCCTGCTCCCTTCTCTGCAGGCGTCCCCACCCCATCCGCCGGGCGCAGGCCAGCAGCCACTGCAGCTGCCCACCTCGCAAAGCGACTGGCGAGACCCGGCCCCGGGACCTCGGCGCGCCCAGGCCCTTGCACTGGACTCCAGCATGTCGTGGAGCAGGGGGTGGCAGTCGGAGCGCACGTTGTCTCTTGGTGGCACCGGGGAGGGTCGTTCGATAGCAAAGCACCAATAGCGGAGAGGGCGAGTCCTGAGCCGAGGGAGCCCTCTGACGGCGGATGGGAGCCCGCCCATCCTCTGCTCTGTCGGGGCAGGCGCTCTCACACCCCTTCCTAGGAGGAGCAAATGGTTCCTTCCAGGCGGGTGGCCATGTTGCTCCCTTAAAGCAGGCGGGGCGGCGGCGTGGGGGGAGCAGATGCCGCTGGTTGCGAGCCGGAGCTAGGTTTGTGTAGCGCGCAGCCGCGAGCGAGGCGCGGGGGAGGCGAGCCGGAGTCCTAGCGCTGGCAGCAGCCAGTGTCGGCGGAGAGCACCCGGGCGCAGCCGGAGCCGGAGCGCTAGCAGCCAGCGTCGGCGGAGCGCACAAGGGCGCAGCCACCGCCGCGATGGCCGTGGCCGTGGGAAGACCATCTGTGAGTGTCGGGCCCTCCCTCCCTCCATCTCTTCCCTCGCTCGGCGCCGAGTGGTCTCAGCTTTGGGGCGGGTGGCTGTGGGTGTGTGTGCGCGTGGATTTGGGCGCGCGTCTGGGGCTGAAGGGGAGGGTGAAGCGCCCATAGGCGCGGGCGCCGCGTGATGCCTCAGTGCATCGTCTCGTAGCTCCCCTATTCGCAGCGTGCGCAAGAAAAGGGACCCTCTCGTCTGGGCGCGCTTTGGAAGCCTCCCCGGTTTAGCTTTGGCGTTTCCCAGCGAGCTGCCTTTGCCCGCGCACGCCGTGGCCCTCGTGATCTAAGGAGGGAAAGGCACCGGGTGCGCGGGGGTTTCCTCCAGGCTGCCCCGCGCGTCCCGGGGCGGTCGGGGGCATGGGAATTGTGCGCCGAGGCGCAGCGTGTCACCCGGCTTGAGGCAGCAGGTCAAGGGGTGGGGTTTCTGTGCTGGTTTCCCCCGTGCCTTGTGAGATCTCCGGACACCCTCAGGCTCCCAGCCGGGTGACCCGGCCCTGCCCAGGCTGTGGACAAAGCCGTCGCCAGACGCACAAAGTTTTCTTAAGGGCTGCCTTGTGGTGGTGGCGGCAGGAGGCAGGGAGGTATTGTAAGGCTTGCCGCTGAAAGGCCGGAGAGGCGGGCCTGCGAGGAAGAGGAAGGGAGGGCGGGTGCGTGGGGAAGCGGGCGCCCCATTGCCTCGGGTGCGGGGAGAGGGGCCAGGGAGGGGATTTCTGTCCAGGGCGTGGGGCCAGGGCGCTGGGGCCGGGCGCACCTCCGGGGTGCAGTGTTCGGTTTGCGAGGCGGGAGCGCAGCGGGACTTGGAGGATGCGGCTCCGCGCCAGCTGCACATCCCGGGTGTAGGGCGGAGGAAGGGGCGGCGGCGGCCTTTCCTTTTCATTGAAAGGAGCGGGGCCGGGTGGGAAAGGTGGAGTCGTCCTTCTGTTTTCCCCCTTGTTGGTGTTCAAAGTTCGTTTCTGGCTCTGGGGGCGCCTTGAGCGAGGTCCCTCCGGCTCCGTCGCCTTCTTTATGTATTCTTCAACTGCGTGGCTGCAGGTGGAAGCTAGAAAAATTATTGTAGGTAAGATCCCCCTCAAAAAAAAAAAGAAAGAAAGAAAAGAAAGAAAAAGTCGAGGCTGTGCGCCTAACCCGAACTCACAGCCCTGCTCCCCTGGCGCACGCACCATTTGCGCCCCCGCCTCGGGCTGCGCGGGAAGTTGGCGGGGAACCCTCCGGGCGTGCTCACTTGATATGGTGACTTCGCGGCTGCGGTATTTTCTAGGACGGTTTTCCCCGGTGAGCGCATATCCCAGGGTCATATGGAAGTGTGACTGGGTCCCTTAAGCCTTCGAAACTTAACTATTGGTCGACAGACTTTTGAACAATGCTTGCTTCCTGTTGCAGACCGCTTGTGCTGCTGGTCTTGAGTGGTCTTTGGGCAGGAAGTTTAAGACCTTAGAGGTCAGGTGTATCTGGTTAAACAACTCCCCACCTTCCCCCATATTATCAGGGTTCTAAACAGGGATTCAGGGAACTAAAGCAACATTTGTTTTAGATAAACTGGCAAGGGGCTGGAGAGCAAGCCTTGTGTGGGTGGGGGTGTCTGGGGAACACTTATTGCTGGTGCATTCTTGAGGGGTGGGGGCGGTGGAGGAAATAATTTGCTGCACATTTTCTATAAATTAGTTGGTTCATATATGCTGGCTAAATAGGAACAGTATGTGGATTTAAGGTTTCCTTGTGTGGCCGTAATCATATTCAACACTGGGTCTGCTAACCATATGTGAGCTTAATCCCACAGAATTCTTGTGTGAGAACTCTCTTTTAAATAATAGATATTTTTGAAGTATGTGTGTACGGAGGAGGAAACTTTTCTGCAAAGTTCCTGTTGTCATTGGAATTAAGTCTAAATTACTTAGCAATTTAAAACTAGAAGCCCAGGGAGTGGGGATGGCAGGCCGCGACACCCCACCCCCCCCAACTGCCTTGGAGGAGTGGTCAGTGGTGAGGAATTGACTACAATGTTGGAACAGGTCCTGTAATGCACTTCAGAAACCTTGTGATCAGATTTCCAGGGGACTGTTGAATTGTTACATTTTGTTCATTGCTCCAGTTCCAAACCTTTCCTCCCCTTTCCAGTTGTATTAGGTGGAGAGGGAGACAGACAGCACCCATCAACTGGTTCCCTCCCAGATGCTTGCAAAAGTGGGTTGAGTTGAAGCCTGGAGCCCAAATAATGCAGCCTTTGCTGCTGTCTGCCAGGGTCTGCGTTATCAGGAAGGTAGAGCCGGGGAGCCAGAGCTGGGCGCTAAACGCAGGTGCTCTCACACGCCTTGTGGGCATCTTAACTGTTAGGCCAAGAGCCCACTCCGGCTGACTGTCTTAAGTGTGTGCTGTGCAATTTTGCCTTCAACCTCACTGATGCTTCGCCAAGCCCAGCTGTAAGGCATTGCCTCTTGACTGCTGGGATGCTTCTCCCTCTTTCTAGTTGACTTATCCAGCCTCTGATAAGTAAGGGAGTGGGTGGGAGAAGACTCATTCCAAGGTTGATCTCTGTTAGTAGCTTCCTTAGTTAACTCCAGTAGAATTAATGAGCTCGTTTGCTAAATTGTCCAGGAAAACCTGACCATGTTTCCTTTCCTTATTAATGGCTTCTCCTATCCAGACTGCAGAAAAATTCTTCAATCTGAAGAAGCTACCTTCCATTTTAAACTTGTTTGAATCAGATCTGTAGTGTGGTATCCCAGTAAACATGGTGTTTTAGTTGGCAAAATTGCTTCTTTGTCAGATGCCGAAATCTCAGACCTACAGCATGGTTCTATTCAATTACACTCATTTAAATCGCAGTGCTAAATTCAGATTTTTCAAAAGATTTATTTATTTATTTGAAAGATTTAGAGAGAGGAGAGACAGAGAAAGATCTCCTGTTGGCTGGTTCACTCCCTAAGTGGCCCCAAGTGGCTTAGCTGGAGCTCAGCCAGTCTGAAGCCAAGAGCTTCTTCCTGTTCTCCCTCAGGAGAGCAGGGCCCCAAGCCTTTGGAACATTCTCCACTGCTTTCCCAGGCCACAAGCTGGGAACTGGATGGGAAGTGGAGCAGCTGGGTACGAATTGGCGCCCATATGGGATGCTGGCTAGTACAAGGCAAGGACTTAATCAGTAGGCTACCATGCCAGACCCCAGATTTTTTTTTAAGGGGAATTGTCACCTACACAAAGAAAGAGCTTTTGCTTGGTGTGCTTGTGTTTATTTCAGTTTTAATCTCGAGCTCCAGCATCTCCCAATTCCCCACTGATGGTAGGCAGGGGCCTATCAGCGTAACTGATTAATGGGGTGTCCCGAGGTCTCAGAGCAGCTCTTTCTTTGAAACACAATGTGGTAGTTTTTGTGGGGATCAGGCTTTATATGGTTTATCTATTTTCTCAAGGTGTGTGTGCGTGTTTATCAGGTTATATTCTAGGAGTTACAAAGAACTTTACAGAGAATTTGGTGCAACTTCCTGTTTGATGCAGAAGTACTGCTTGCTCTATTCCCAACAGAAGTCACTGTGTAGACTTTTTCAGTGGTGAAGACTTCCCTGTGATGCCTTTGAATCAGTCTGTTTAATCACTCTGATCTGTTGGATGCAGAGATGGGTCCAACTGGCTTGTGGAAGTGTGTTAATTGAATGCTGGAGTTACAGACTTCTCTGAGTGTCAGTGGTATAGAAGAAGACAAGAGAAAAGGCCTTTCTAACCTGGAACTTTTGTTTTACGCAAGATGTATTGTCCAGGTGTGTGAGGCAGGGACACACCTCAGTGCGGTGTGCCAGCTCCTCAGGGGAGAAAAGGAATGAGGGTGCTTGCTGCTGAGTCCCCCATTAAGATTCAGGTAGGGGATTGGCCCAGGTTGGTTGCACAGAGCTCAGATCTGGGAGGGGAGGGGAATAGAACAAGGAAATTGTATTATCCTTTGTTATAGAATTGCTGGATGATTTCAGGTTGTGGACTTGGCCAGTGTTCTTGGAGAAAGATTTATGGAGCTGAAAAAACATCATGGGGAGGGATGTCTTAAGTGACAGCTTGGGGATGGCTGTTAAAAATCAGAACACTTGGGGGCCTGGCATGTAGCCTAGTGACTAAAGTTCTTGCCTTTCACGTGCTGGAATCCCATATGGGTACCAGTTCGTGTCCTGGCAGCCCCACTGCCCATCCAGCTCCCTGCTTGTGGCCTGGGAAAGCAGCAGAGAATAGCCCAAAGCCTTGGGATCCTGCACCCATGTGCGAGACCTGGAGGAAGTTGCTGGCTCTAGGTTTCGGATCCGCTCAGCTCCAGCTTCTGCGGCTACTTGGGGAGTGAACCATTGGACGAAGATCTTTCTCTGTGTCTCTCCTCCTCTCTATATATCCGCCTTTCCAATAAAAATAAAATCTTAAAAAAAAAATCAGAACATTTGGTGATGTTCCTTGTACACATGGGTGGAGGGGTCTTTATGTAAACACCGAAGGGTGCAAGAACTGCCTGAGGTAAAGTAAGCCTGCATTTTTAAAATTGTTGAGAGCTGTGGATGGTTTTTTAAAATTATTATTCTTACATTATCTTGTTTCAAGATATATGTATGTTACAGTGAAAAAATAGACAAAGAAACTGATTAAAAAGCATGGGACTCCTTAGATGCAGCCATCCTGGTATCACAGGTTTAGGAAGGGTAGTGCATTTTATCCATTTTTACAGCAGGAAGCCTAATCCATGTCATTTAAATTGCTACTTAGGAATCAGAGCATGCCTGGAGGGGCCTAGCCCATTTGGACCGTGGGAACCCTCTTAGAGTGGGAGGATTGAATGCTTGCTTCTGGGATTGGGATGGCCATTTTGTTGGGCTGCTTCAAGACCCAGCGTTTCTATCCACTGTGGAGCCTTGGATTTAAACTTGGAGCAGGGTCTCTTTTTATAAAGTTCTCTTTTTACTAAGGACCTTACACTCGGTGAGGGGGCAGAGGCTGCTTTTGGATCTTGC